AAAGGGACCCCCAGGTGGGGGCGGGCGCCCCTGCCACTGCCGAGTCCCGCGCTGACTAAGTGGTGATACAGAGCTTCCATTTTTCTGCTGTTGTAAACACCACTGAAAGCCTGGGTGGTCTTGGCTCTCAGAAAATTTCCTACTTGACTGCTGCAAACAATCGGTATGATTGCTACCTTCCCCTGCAAAGATGTTAGCATTAAGTTCTAGCAGTTCCTCCAGCCCTTGGAGTCAAATGAGCTACCTCCTGAAAGAACCTAGACCTCTAAAAGCCCTGATTTTTCCAACTGCATTTGATTTTCCTGTATGACTCAGCTGAGTGCTGAATTCAGCACAAACCAGCCCTATCTCCTTACCTACAGCTTTGTTTTCCCTATTTTCTTATCAATGAGAGTTGTTCAGCTCATTTCACTTGTGGTAGAGAGACATTTATCCTTGATCTTTGTGTTTCTCTGGTCTTGAAAAATGTACTATCCCATAGCAAATGTACTGTACTATCCCATAGCAAAACAGAATTCACACTACTCTTGTGGGTTTAATGTACTTACTGATTGGGTGTCCTCTCGCCGTCACTGCTGCTCTGGCTTAAACAGCTGGTACTTCTTTCTAGCTGCAGAGACAGCTGCACTTCTAACCCTGGGGTGTACAGTCATCTTGGTGAGTTGCCTATGTTCTTTTCACAGTACAGGTTTTGGACACAGAGCAGCCATTAGTGGCATATTCTTATCTCAGCGATTTCTAGTGAGGGGTAGTGGAGCATGTGTGTTAATCACATCCCTAAAAGAAAAGACCGCGACAGTACAGAGGCCATGTAATTTTTTTATTTCATCAGTGTTAGCCTGAAGCAAGTGGTAGGACATACGGGACAGAGACAGAGCTTGGCCAGTGTAAATCAGTGTAACCCTCTGTCCTGAAGGAAGTGCACTGATTGACTTCATGCAAAATCTCAACCACTCACACATCTCACTGTCTTCTGGAAAGAGAGGTGTTCCTCAGTATAATGTGTACTGTTCCTCAAGATATACATACTGTACCTCTGAACACTAGATATGTTTAATGATTCTTTATTGCTAAGACATCTGATGAAAGACGTGTGCTGTCTTTGGCAGCTGCCATTTTATATTTGTGTTTGCCACAACACTTACTTAGTTTACATTACTTGCAGTGGGAAGAGGAGAGAAATCTTGGAGCATCGCTAGTGCTTACAGGTCTAAAGCAAATGAGCACTGTGGGTTTTAGCTCCCAGCTGTATGGCTATGCATTCCTTGGTAAGTTTTACCTCTCTCATGTTTTCCCTCATCTCTTCGGTGGCTGAATTAAATTGGCATCTTTGCTTTTATTTAAATGTAATCAAGGAGAAGTCAAGAAAAAAAGGTAGAAATAGTGGAAGGAACAATTTCAGAATTAAGACTGGATCTGTTTTGTAAGACCAGAGGGTAGTACTAATTTGAATGGTATGCCCGTTATCAGATAGCTTCAGAACCTCCTTAGGGCTCCAGGTTGGATTGGCAGCTGAAAGAAAGAAGTACTTAAAAGAACAATAGGGTTGGTTTGTTTGCTGACCAACAAATATAAAACCAAAACAAAACACCACAAGAGTACATAGTTCCATAACAGTAGTTTAAAGGTTATGGACAAGAGACTCTCTTTCTAGTTAATGAGCTTCTTAAAATAATCCGTAAACCTCAAGAAGTTCAGAGAACACAGCCTGAAAAAGACTATGTTTAGAACATCTACTACTCAACTGTAAAGTTAATGTTTCTGTTGTGCATAGCAGATAGCAGTCCCTTTATCCTGTATCTGCTAAGGGGTCTTCACTGCTAATGATACACTGTATTATTGAGAAGCAGTTAGATCAGAGTATGTCCAGAGTTGGAGGGAAGGGGAAGGGGCTGAGTAATTCTTGATTTCCTCTAACCTTTAGTGGAATACAGTGTAGATAGGTTTTGGTCTTCTGTACAAAATGATTATTTACTTGAAAGTCAGTAATTAATTTAAAATTTATGATTATGCAGTTGTTCCATTACTGCATTCTATTTTATTCTAGAATTTATTGAGGGTAATAAAAAGTGAACTTGTTCTTAAGATGTGGCCTCAAAATACAATGTATAGTGGCAGAATTAGGATGATGATTCAGATTTATCATGAGTGTAGGACAAAAAACTCATTAGCAGTCAAAAAGAAGGATAAATGTGAAAATTAATTTGAAAGTAGGTTTTTCCATAGAGCTGTAGTCTGTTAGCCAGTGGAGATACTGATACAAATAGAGACTTTGCTGTCCAGTTGGCATTCAGTTTGAGGTGATTTTATGTCATATAGATTGGTTGAGTAGTGGCTGGATTTCAAAACTGCACTTCACTCTGTCTGTGAGCAGTAGAACTTGTTCCATGACATTGACATTCAGTAGATCAAAAGCTATTTACTGTTATGTCACGCATGCCACAGTCTTGCCAACACTAATGGAACTGATCTCTGAAAGAGTGAAAGATGTCTACAGGCACACAGTGGCCTCAAGCACCTCAGCTATTTTAATTTAGCCATAGTCCATGAACTTTGTGCACTTTTAACCTTGTTTTTCCTAAACTGTTCTCTTCCGTGTAGAGTAAGGTGTGTTTCATCGTTTTGCGTCATTATCGCCAGAGTGCAGGTTAGATTGAGAGCTTGGATACAACTTGTAAGCTACACTGAAGTAGTATTATTTGTTACACTGACAATGAAAGAATCAAAACCTTTGAGTGACAATCAGCCTAAATTAGTTCTCACCGACTGCAACATGATGTACATTTCTTCTATGATGTAGGAGTTTTGTGTTCTCTACTAATTACCATCAGAAGAAAAGCCACATTGGCAGTGGTGCTGTGCATCACAGGGCCTGCATCAGTTTAGACCTAGTTGCAGAGAACGTCCTAAATCAAGAACCAAAATTTCATTTTGGCAGGTCTCCCATATTTCTTCTCAGGAAGCTCCAGTGGAAATAAGGGTAATAAGCTGTATAGTTAACCAGAGTGTGTGCTGTAAATACCGTACAGTCTGGCTGTGAGCCATGTCTGAGTAGACCCTAAAGCCACAGAGGGGAATCCAGAGCCTCAGATTTAGTGCACACATACAGCACAGTCAGTCCCTGAAGGCTAAGGAGACCTTTGTCTGAGATCTTCAGACATCCTGCTGTGAGCTGCTGTTGCAACTGCCAGACAGCCGGAAAACCTGGTCACTTTTCATCTTTTCCATCTGGGCAACATTTCTAGGCAAGGCAGGAGGGGGAATGGGGAGGAACCAGAATTTAATAGCTTTGAAGTTGGGCAAAAATAAGGCACCTTAATAAAATAAGGTAATAGCAGTTCTGCCAGAGGATCTTTGTGTAAGAGTGTGCCAATTTTACCACAGAAACCAAGACACTCGCTGTCACTTCTAAAAAACAAAGCCAACCCGTATAGATCCATCAAGACTCAAGTGCTGAAGTACTAACACTAAAGTATTTTTTTATCACAGGGAAAGTGGAGTTGAATAAAGGGTTAAGAGCTGTCTACAATCTAATGCCACTGATGTGGACACCTGGATACTTGAACAGAGCCTTGCAAGTAATGGAGAATGTGGCTTCATTGTCAGGGGACGGCAAAATCTGCAAAGAAGCTGTAAGTATGAAGGCCCATTTGGTCCATTTGTGAAGTCAGCACTGATTAAGGCACTTGGGACTTACTAGTGCTCTGGGCGTTAGGCTGATCCTGGAATCAGACAGCTTAGGAGGAGTTACTTAGGAAGTCGCCACCACGTGGGCTGGAGCATAGAAACAGCACTGAGGTCTCATCTTCTCTTCTTGGTACTCGTATCTTGAAGATGTTTCCAGTGATGGGAGGTTTTTTTGCTGGCGTCACTACCAGGCTTGCAATCTCTGCATTTTCCTTGACGAACAAAGGCCAGGACACTGCTCAGGAGATTCTCCATCTATTGCTTCATGCTCAGAAGCAGCTCCCAATAATACTGGACAGTGCAAGGAAGGAAAGGTGATACCTGCAACTTCCATAATTTTGAGTTACCTTTTTGGGGTGTGGTTTTGGGGGTTTCTTCCTTACTCCAAGTCTGAAGAACTTAGCCTATTACGCTTATGATTTTTTTTTTTCCTTACAAACTCTAGTCAAATTAAGGAACTCCTGAGCTTGCTCTGTGTTCTAGATTCTAGGAAGGATCTAGATCTAGTTCCTAGGAAGGATCTAGATCCTAAGTAACTGGCTTGATGGTCACGCTCAGAGTTGTGGTCAGTGGCTTGATGTCTGAGTGGAGACCAGTGACAAGTGGCGTTACTCAGCGGTTGGGACCCAGCTGGACTAGTGCATCCAGCTCTGGGACCCTCCACATAGGAAGCATGTCAACCGGTTGGAGCGAGTCCAGAGGAGGCCACAAAGATGCTCAGAGGGCTGGAGCACCTCTGCTATGGGGACAGGCTGAGAAAGTTGGGCTTGAGTCTGGAGAAAAGAAGGCTCTGGGGAGACCTTATTGCACCTTCCAGTACCTGAAGGGGCTACAAGGAAGCTGGGGGGGACTTTTTACAAGGGTCTGTAGTGACAGGACAAGGGGTAACGGGTTTAAATTGAAAGTGGAGAGGTTTAGATTCACGGAGAGGGTGGTGAGGCACTGGAACAGGTTGCCCAGAGAAGCTGTGGATGCCCCATCCCTGGAAGTGTTCAAGGCCAGGCTGGATGAGGCTTTGAGCAACCTGGTCTAGTCGAAGGTGTCCCTGCCCATGGCAGGGGGGTTGGAACTAGATGATCTCTAAGGTACCTTCCGACCCAAATCATTCCGTGATTCCATGAAATAATATTTCTGTAATGCATTTGTGTGACCCCGAGAGAAAAAGGAAAACGAGGAAAATATGTTGGTCTATCCTTATCTGGTGTGAAGTAATTAGAGTGTATTCATTTGCATAATCCTGTCTTCCTATGTGAATGCTCATTAAGATTTTACTATTAAAATCTTCTTAATAGTACAAAAGATGTTATTTATTACTACTTCCAACCAGAATCTGGTATTCCTATGGGTGCAGGACTGAGAGCACTGGCCAAATTAATATTGGAGTCAGTCAACTGCCACTGAATTCAGCAGCAGATATGATGGAAAGCACCCTAAGTGCTGAAAACCCTTTTTTCCTGTGGTAGTTATTTCATCCTACTGATAAACATTCAGAATTAGGATTCATGGAGGGAACGACTCTTTGCATTTGTAAAAGCTGAACTTTAAAATGCAAGCAACATGCATCCAGTAATTCTAGTTCTGGAGATCGTATTATTCCCAAAACAGCATCATCATCCATATAGCAGTTCCATCTTTTATGTCAGTAATATGTACAGAAATAATTTACCAGGTCCCTTAGTGAAGCTAATGCATTCTTTTGATACAACTGCAATTAGCTTAGGAGAGGCTGTTGCTCTTCCTACCTCAAAAGAGAAAAACATGAAGAGAACAATGGTGTCACAGATTAAAAATATACCTATACCAATACATTCTATACCTGTGTTTGCATTTCTTCCTGTTAAAGTATCAAACTAATGATAGGAATGAACAGTTAGTTGCTGAACATATAGATGCTGAACAGGTGATTTCCCTCCATCTTTTCACCTAAGGTATATTGAGGTGATCGATTAGAGATTATATTGTTCAAAAATTCCACAGTAGTATCTTATTTAGATGTGTCTGTGATTCTGTGTCATGCTAGTGCTGTTAATCGCTGTGACTACCATTTAGCATTGGTATTTATGGCTGGATAAAGAGTCCAGGAGGAGACATTAGCCTAATGCCTAACAGATCTGCAAATACCAGTCAGCATCTGAGTCACAGAGAATTTTACTGTTGACAGGGAGCAGTGGAATTGTTCTGTTGCAGATATTTAATGTCCAACCGTAACAGTCACAGGTACAGTACAAAATTCTTCCAAGAATAAGTGCCATTTCCTTTCAGAATTTGGTTTTCTTTTTGTCATACACAGAAATCATCTCATAATCCATGGTAGCTCCTGAAGTTGTTTGTAAATGTGATAGTGGTGTTACTCAGATTGTATTTCCAAACTGCTTAAACTCACAATGACACATGTGGTTGTTCAGGTGGATGCTCTGGAGACCATTTTTCAGTCTGCCCTTGAAGCAAAGCCTGGTCCAGAATCAGCTGAAGAAGGCAAGGAATTGGAGCAGAAGTCAGAATATGCAGAATCAGAAGAAACTGAGCAGTCTAAAGCACCCGAGTACTACAGCCGATTCAAGGTGAAAGTTTCATTTACCTCGATATTCTAAGCTGTAGTAGATCTCCGTAGTATATACTAGAAAATGTACATGTTGGCTTATTATGGCTAGTAGTCTGACACCCCTCCAGTGCATCAGGAGTCCTCCCTAGCATATTTGCAATGGATGTCACCTTACATTTTCACTTCTTCAAACAGGAAGCAGCAGCCTACAAAGACAAATGCTCAAGGCCACTTGTCTTTTGTCTGTCTGCTGGGATTTTGTCTTCACTTTTCATACATCAAAATGATAAATCCAATCCTGTTGCAAAAGTGGTATGTCATTAGAGATCCATTATCTGACCTTTTGTGGGCTCTTGCTCATTAAAATAAATTGCGGTAGGCATGAGACCATTCTGAATTTCCTGTCCATTTGTCTATGTCATGATAAAGTAGGAATGTTGCATCCTATACTTTCAATCTGTGGAACTAAATAAGGCTGTATTTTTAGGGCTCCCTTTTATCTTTAGGTTGTCACATTGATGGTAACGCAAAACACAAACAGTTGTTCATTAGGGCACAGCTATGTAATGAGTGCATTTTATTTGATCATCTCATAACTATATAACGAGCTTGTTTTATTTTATCATGTCTGATTTGTGCTGTGATAAAAACCAAATTGTCCCAGGTTGAAAACAATCTGGTTTCTAGTTCCAGGAGCAGTACTCTTTCCATAGCCCACTGTGGACTGTGGACAGTTGTTTTGGATAAAGACCGTTGTTCTTCCAAAGAAATTTCAGGAGCTAAAAGACTTGCGTCCTGTGGTTTCACCTCACAGGCACACACTTTTCCTTTCTTTAATTTTTATTTACATAAATTATTTGCCACTAATCTTTAGATTTTAAACTTGCTTTGTAGGCACTTTTTCATTGAAGTTTTTAGGAATCAGTGAGTGCTCAGCATGTGATAATTAATGCCTGGGTGAATTACCGTGAATTAGGTAAACACAAGTGCCCTTTGAAGGAGGGAGTGAGACATTCTTCTGAGTCTCTCATTGTCTGTCTTTTGTCTAGCCCTTAAGAAAATAATGCAGAGTGCTCAAAACAAGGCCTAAATGTAAAATTTGAAACAGACTAGTGCCAGAGAGAGTAGTATTCTTCTCACTTCAACCTTTCCACATTCCATAATTAACCCCAGTTGAGGCATTCCCTGGTGTGCCCTAACTTAGAGCCAACAAACGACAGTCCCAACACTTGGCCTTACCCTCTCACCAGAAAAGTCTGAGTGTGAGAAAGACATAGCCCTCGTGAAGTCTAGGCATCCAACATTAATTTTTCTGTAAGTAAGCCAAAATTTCTGGTTGTCTGGATGAGAAAAGGACCTCTCAAGACAGAATGCCATTTCAGTTAAGCCGGAAAGAGCTCTCAGACTCCTTTTCTCCAATCTGTTAGGCCAACACCACCCAGTCTTCCCAGTTGAACCCCTGGACACCTATAGGAGTCGTTCACAGGGCAGAGAGGTTCACTAGAAATCCACACAAGTCTGAGGGAAGGTGGCAGCTCTGAAGCAACCCGGTGATGTTGGCATTCACAGCTGCTGTCCCAGCACACATCATCTGCCCCACAACACAGTTTTTGTACTTGTGCTGGTGAAAACACTTCAGTTGCACTTTGTCCAGCCCTGCATTAGTCAGCATGTTCCAGTCTTTCTCCTTGAGCTCAAAAACAATTGCTTCTGTCTCCGGCTTGCCCAGTTATCTTTCATAAGTCATACACCTTGGTACGCGAGGAAAAGCATGTGGATTTGCTCCTGACATACAGTTCCCGTCTAGAACTGTAGGTTGTTCTGCATGGCTTTTATAACATATGTGGACTTCATGTCTCATACCAACCTTCAGAACAGCCATTTGGCAAAGTACCTGAAAAAGTCACACCAGCCTAACAGATAGGTGTGTGAGACACAGCAGGTCCTTCCCTTCCACTAAAACAAACAAGACTTGAGGGCATTTGGCTCCTTCCAGTTAAAACCTTTAGAAGTGTAATTCAGGCTCGTCGTCTGACACTGTCATTCATGTTGTAATTACCTGTTTTCAGATCCTCTGTGCTAAGGCTCTCTACTCAGTGTTCCTCAGGCAATTCCTCCCATCTGTGGCAATGATCAGTGGGCAAGCATTTCATCACATAAATGCTGGGGACACCCTCTCGAAAAGCAGTGCGCCTTCTGTAACTGCGTGCCCAGCCCTGGAGACTGCTTACAAAATCAATGATTTAGCCACTTAAAAATGTGCCCTTTTGGTACCCGCAGGCCATGGAGCCTGCTGCTTTCCTAAATTAGTTTGACTAATGTATCATAGCAGAACAGGGAAAATTCCAGGAGTTCAGGGTACCAGTATTGGCTTAGGAGAGAAGTCTGCTAGCTTCCAATTTCTTCCAGTGGTAGTGGTTAGCAGGGAGAGTCTGAAGGATCGAAACCTGTTACGTTTAAAGAGAATATCTAATCCGTAAACATGAGTATAGTTGTCAGGTTCCTTCCCCAGGCCCAAGCTGTACAGTCTCTTCATGTTTCTCACAGATGCACTGTGTACTTTCTAACGTCTCAAAGTCAGAGATGAATACACCTACATTTATTACTGAGTTTGGTTTTAATCCACTAGCTTCAAAACCATTGGGTTTGTTTTCATTGTTTATTATAAAATCAAAAAACCAGACACAAATACCCAAGCCCCTACAACCTGCATGCCTAGCATTTCAAGGAGTCTTTAATCTGCTGTCTGGCAAGTTCAAACATTCAAGGGTCTAGCAAAACACAACAAAGCCTGCAGTTGTGTTGGCTGAGGCAGAAAGGAGTGGAGAGGCCTCAGAGGGGACAGTGTAGTTTTCTGTGTAAGAACGAGGCCCAGCCTCCAGACAGGAGCTGAGGGGCAGTGCCAGCGTGGGCTGGGGTAAGAGGAGCACTGTGGGTCAGCAGCACAGCGCCTAAGCTTCTAGTGGTAACTGGAAGCCCAGATATCTGCGTTGCCCCAGGACTGCAGTTTCGTTTGGAGGTGAATGATCCCCCCATCTTCTTTCCATCCTCCTGCAATGCAAAACAGTAGGCTTTATTCAGGGGGCCCAGGAAAGAAGCATGGGTGTAGCTTTCTTTAGGGCACGTACTTTAAACATTTCTGCAAGGCGTGGTCTCAGTGAAATGTTTTATTTAAATGAACAATCAGGAAAATGTGTTGCTGTCTGATGCGTGTAGAAGGGGTAAAGAACCTGCCGGTGCCAGGTCATCTTTCTTCCCCAGGAAACTCCTCCTTGGTTGTGTATCTGAACTTTTAAAGGCATTTAATCAAACTGTTAGTGAGCCGTCAGGCTAAAGGTGCTGGAAGGCCAGAAATGGTACGGCTAGACGATTCATCACCTTAAGTGAATTAACATTTTTATGCTGTGTAAAATCTAGATATGTAAAGCTCAAGGAAGAAATGCTGCATTCTCTTACTGAAGCTCTGCTCTCAGTTTCAGTGTAGAATGTCCCTGAATAAAATACCCTGCTTTAGTGCTGCCGTACAGTGTGCATAACCGTGGGTGGGCCTCAGATCACAATAACCAATGGGAAGAAAAATCGTGTTACTTGGTACAGCCTTAGCAGGAGAACATTTAAACTGATGTGCATCTCTTGAGAAAGATGCTAATGCAGGCAGTGTGGGGCAGATTGTTCAGTGGGTTGTGAGGTAAGACACTAAAGGTGTTTAGATTATATTTATTGTGGTTGACTGCTGGTTGACTTATCTTGGTTAAGGCCAGATAACTGAACTTAGAAAAACAAAGAGAATTTTTAATCAATGAAAAACGAAAACGAAACTTAACATTGTTTTAGTTTTTTTGCTCAAAAAAATTATTCTAGAGGTTAGCATTTCAAGAAATGGTACCAGCTACCACAGCCAAAACACTTTACGTGGGGTAAAATAGTTACCTGGCCTATATAGCCCAGGTAGTAGTTAGATTCAAATAGCGATGTATTGGTTGGTATAGGGAAGTATTTTGTGGCTGATTATTTTGTGACTGATGGGCTCTCTCCTTCTCACTCCTCACCAAATCCCTCTCCATGACAGGAGCTGTACTCCAAGCTGCATTCGCTTGGCAAGGTTGAGTCTGAAAGCCTGTTAACCCTGACCGCCCAACTGGTCAAGGAGAAGCTGCCAGCATGTGAAGTGGAAGACATTGCAAAACACGAGCAGAAGCTAAAGGAGTGGGAACAAGAACAAGCACTTCTCACTGAGAGAGAGAGAGAGTTGAGAGAAAAGGCTAAGCAGGAAATGGAAGCTAGGAAGCTAGCTGAAGCATCTGCTTAGCACTGCAGCTCAGAGACTACGGGAGCGGCATGCCTTCCTCTGTCAGTGGACGGAAGTGCTCACGGTTTCTGATCTTTCACTTCGATCCTGCTGCAAGTGTGACTGTACATGTCTGCTATATGCAAATTAAACTTTTCCCATTCTACCACTTTTCTGAAGTAAAGCACACGTGGTTTAGAAATCTTCATCCTGTATATGATATATTTTCCTTCTGCTGTCAGCCAGGCAGGGGGTGGGATGGGGAAAACACAAAGAAACAAAGGCATAAAAAGTAGGTTGCCTGTGATGTAGGGTGTAGAGGGTGGATGGAACAAAGGAAGAGGGAAGAATTTCAAACAAAAGTTGTTTCACTAGGGGTTTCTCACAGGGAAGAATGCCTTGGCTTCTCTGAACTTCAGACACTAAGAGGATTAACGTATATTGATGGCTTTTTTTTTCCCCAACCCATTTCGAAAAGCGAGGCGGCTCTACATGGAGTTGGAAGCCTAACTTCAATCTGTCTTAAAAAACTACTTTTAAAGAGTTTCAGCCCAGTGCGTTAGCACTTGTACAGGAACTCTGATGTGCCTTCCGTGTTAGGAAGTTAGAAATACCCAATTTATGGGTACTGCTCTGGTCTGTTTTTAAGGTCAGTAGGGAAACAGGCACAGTCACCTCAGCACACACTAAGAAGCCTCATATTGCAGTGCAGTTTCCTTTTATATTCTGGGCACTGCTTCATGGGGGTTTTGACCTAATTCCCTTCTTCTCAGCTGTGTACATGGTCTCATGCCCCATTCTTCAGATTGGTAAAACAATGTGGCCATTCATACGGGGCACAAGGAAACGGCAAGAGAGGAATGGCTCATAGTGGTTGTGGGGTTGCATCAGCACCCATCCCTGCTCACATTCCCTGTCACCACTGAATCTCAGCAGCTGCAGCCAGGGACTTTATGCAGCTCACGGCTGGGCAATTCCTTGAAAGCAGGGAGACCCTAGCAACAGCCCTGCTGTATTGTGGCTTGTTCTGGCAACAACAGTGGTGTGTCACTGTGCTTTACCGCAGGCTCAGAAAAGCGTGTCCAGTCCTATCCTGCACCTGCCTGGTCTCACAGTGATAAAACATCACAAACTCACCGTAAATCCAGGGAGAACACACTGCAAATCTGTGAAGTGAATTTAAACGTAGGAGAGCATACCCATACACCAAATACCTCTCCTCTTACCAGCAAACACACTCAGGGCTTGATTGCGCTTTCACATCCAAGAACTTGTATCCCATCCTGTCCCATAGTTTCTCCCGTACTGCAGTAAGAGAGCGCTGTCTCCAGGTAAGTGGATGATTCTGTGGCTTGGCCTAACTAAACCAGCAGTGGACTTTTCTGGGCAACTTTTCTCAATCTCCTGAAGTTTTCTTCTTCTTTATTGGTCTAAATGCTTTCTGATTATTAAGAGAAGTTAAAGACCCTTCAGGGAGAGTAGGAGGCCAAACACACTCTGAACTGTCTCCCTAGAACTGGTGGCTTTACAGAACTCATCACTCCTAGTCCAGCCACAGAACAAAGTCTGCCTACCCGGACCACATATTTCAGCTATTCACTGTCAGAACATGGATTGTACCACCAGAGGTTCACAACCACTCCTTCAACCCAGTTCCTTTCTCGCCTTCACCACCTCTCTTTCCTGGGATCTTCTCTACGCCACCACAGTTTTAAGACCCTACTTGCTCTCACGTGGCCTCCTGCCACTGCAGCTGGGGATCCATCCTGCTGCTTAGGAGACACTGTTTGGCTAGGCTACAGTGGGCACTGCTGCGTTTCTCCTTATTTCTTGTTAGCGCCGGTCTCCCGGCAGCACACGGAGCCAGCGTATGGCCCCACCTCCACCACCCCCCACCAGACTCGGCAGGTACGCCAGGCTGACAGAGTTAATTGAGCTCCAGCAAGCTGCCAGTTGCCATGCCACCTGCCTTGTCACAGGGCATGCTTCCCTTCTCCTGCAACTGATCCCCTTTTCCATTTATGTAGACTGAACTCTTAGAGCAGGAGGAGAAGAACAATCCTCCTCCAAGCTCGGAGTGCTCTGTTAATGAGTATTACAGGTTGCCTCCCTGTGTTAGCCAGGCACTGTAGGTTTTGAATACTCCGAGCCTGCTGCAAAGCATAAAGTGAGCAGTGTACGTACACCCTTTCTCTGCCCAAATCTCCTCCTCTGCCCTTGGGAGAGGGGGTTTCCCTGCCAGCTAAGCAGATTCCTGGGCAGATGGAGGACACCAAACTCCAGACCTGCAGCAGAGGGTCCAGAACATTTGTGGCTTAGGAGCCAAAAGTTTTTGCCAAGCCCGTATTCATCTGTCTGTCCCCTTGGTATCACCCTGAGCAAGAAACTGCTTCTGACACCTCTGCCAGCTGGACCTGCTACAAACCAGTGCCCTCTTCCCTCCATGCCCCAGCTGAGTGTATCTCCATGGTCCACTATCCTCTGTCTTGCTTCTCCCCATCCTAGGTCTCGCCATTCCATAGCAACCAGCATCCTCTCACCTAACAAATCCTCACATCTCCCACAAGCCGACCTGCACCCTCCAGCAATCCCCATCACTCAAGAGGTTGGAAACACAATTGGCAACTGAAGCTTGAGGGAGGAGTGGGGAAAGGTACCCGCTTTGCAGCTCTCCTCTACCTGCTGGCTTTGAGCAAGGTCAGCAGGCAGACATACTGCGAGACAGGGTGACTTGCAGACCAGTGCTCTTCAAGGATGCGCTTCGCTTCCTGGGGGAGACACGGGCGGCAGCTGTGCACCACAAACACAGCAGTGTGAAAAATCAATCAGCTTGGCTTACCTGGTTTTCTCCTTCCCACTCCAGGAAAGGTAAGAGAGACTTGACTGTTCACCCCCTTGATAAATCATGTGGCGCACACAACCTGTTTCTCAGCTGCTCGCTGGATTACTCTGAACAAGGATTTTGAAGAATGCTTGTAGCAACTCCTCTGAGTGAAACGGCCCCTGGTAGTCAAAATCCCTCCTGCCTGGATGCCTGTGGCTTTGTGTGCACTCCAGTGACAGCCACCACCTGCCGTGATGCGGCCGGACACATTGGCTGCATCAGAACTGGGGCGTAGAGTAGTCATACAGCAGCTTTTGGTCTGCTGCTGCTTAAAGGTGAGCTCTGATGTTAAGGGAAGAATGTGAACGTGTGTGTATGTGCGTACAGAAACGAAGGAAAGAAAACACTTCGCGTAATCTACAAATCCAAAAAGTTGCTGAGTTCACCCAGTCCTGCACCCTGGTGCTCGTTCGATGCAGGCTCACAACCCAGTGAGCACTTCCTCACTAGGACACCCTCAAGCATTTGGAAATCTCGTGGCTTGTTGCTGCACCATTTCAGACGGCTACCTAGGCCTTTCTGTATGTGGATGGGGCTGTCAAACTATTTCCCAGAGGGGACAGATGAAAGTCTTTCTCAGCAGTAGCACTGCCTCCTTTTTATTGCATCGCCTCTCCTGGAAATGTTGGTGACCAGCAGCCTAAATAATACCTGCCTGCACTGGTGCTCGTGGCACAGCATTGCCAGACGCACACCGGCTACGCAGTGTTAACAGCTCTCCCCCCAGAGAGAAACCCGTCTCCCAACAATACTAGCCAAAAGAAACAGAAACCAGTACAAATGCAAAGCTTGTTTGGTATGTTGGCATGAATTCCTCTGCTGTTAGGAGAAAAAAAAATTAGTACTTTGAAAGTTAAAGCTTTTCCTTCTAAATCAAAAAGCATCTTCCCAATCCTAACCCATGGCAGACATCAGCTCGCTGCTGATTAGGCGAGCAAACATATGACTCCTCCTCCCACAAGTGTCAGCGGCAGAACACTGCCAGCAAAACACTGAAGGCCATTATCCGTTATTCACAAGGGGAAAATGACATATTTGTTCCCTTGCAGCTCAAATAAACGTTTCCTGAAGCCTTGCACAGCTGGGCCCTATTTATGGTAACACCTGGCCTTGCTGAGGTAAGGTTACTGGGTGCTGTCAGGCCTGGTCCGATGCTGTCCTGCACACAGCACTGGTATCCAGCCCCTTCACATGGCTTCGAGCACCTGTTCCCCCCACACTGGCCTGTAACAGGACTCCTCCATCACCCTAAAACTGTGGGAAGAGGACAACGATCTAGCCCGGCTGCGAATGAAGATTGGCGCGTGCAAGGGGGTTTCTGACCTGAGCAGCCATCACTGAGACAGGCAGAAGACAGCTCGGGGCACAGGACAGCGTGTGTCCTCTCTTCTCCCTCTTCCTCCGGAAGCTGGAGCCACTGTTACAAAAGGGAATTGCACCCTTGACTTTGAGGGATGCATGATGTGGTCCACTGAACAGCATCAGATTCTGCAAGTACCGCTGCAGGTTTAGCTGGGGCTGTTCAGGTGGAAACTACAAATGGACCTTGCAAAATGTATTTATAGTGAGTATTTGAGCATAATTGTGGAAAGTTAGGTTAAATTTATATTCGCAGAAATTTAATGATGGGAAATGTTGAGATCAAGACAAGGCACTTTGGCTGTAGAAGAGAAACTACTGCTGACACAAGTGACAACCTGAACTTGTGACAGTGACCCTTTCAAAATAAAACTGTGGAGAATGAAGTATAGGCCAAGAATTAGTGATAAAACAGTAGTTGATGAGTAACAAGATACTAAACACATGACTGAAAGCTCTGCCATCTATTCTGGGTCAATCTTCCCACAGAAATCAGCATATCGTTCAGAAATCACAGGGTTGCCACCAAACTTGGCTAGCAATTGCACAGTACTAACCCTGTTGCTGCTCCTAAACCTTTGCGATAAACTCGAGTACACTCAACCCAGGCTAAATTGCAGAGGTCCCAGGCACTGAAATAGCACTACAGTCTCACTGACAAGCACATTAGATTATCATGAAAAAAATCAGCTTTCAGTATATCTTCTTGATTGCAAATCCTGACCATTTCTCCCTTAAAAAAATTGGGAAAGAAATGTTCAAGCCTGTTCTGGTCCTTACACTTGGCAACTGCTGCTATAAGTACATCTTTTGAAACTAGGCTCTTCCTGGAAATACTGACTTGCACTCTGTGGAGTTCATATGAGGTATTTAAGTGGCTCGGTTCATTTACCTCCAACTCTCTAAGCAAAGTAAGTAAC